CAGGAATTAATTTTGATTTGGAATTGAAACGCAGTCAAGAAAGTATGTACAAAATTGGAGATAATGTAGTTTATTTCGTTTTTAGTTGTTCAGCCGGGCTGTTCCAGGTCCATTTACGATGTTTGAGTTTTTCGAAAAAGGTATTGGGGCAAAATAGATTTTTGTTGTTCGAGTAGCTATAGAGCGTCTCGTTTCTGTTCCCAATGTTTCTTTCAATATAGTGTAATAACTTTTTGCCCAAAATAGTAGCAGATTTCAGATAAAATGGACCACCAACTCGTCTGAATATTCTGACGCAAATATTTTCATACCCATACATCTCTAGTTTACGGTTCTGAATATTCCAAATAGGGTGCAAAAAATCTGTTCGTATTTTTATCATAACTACGCTCTTGTTAGCAACTCCAGTAGATAGATAGAACATTGTTATAACAATAGAATAAAACTATTGTTATAAATTATGCAAAAGTGAACTTTTTACCGTCGAAATAGAGCTTTAGAGTCAATTTATGCAGCCCCGACCTAGGATCTTAAACTCGTGTTTCATCACATTCTCATCAAGAGTCAAAAACGAGGATCAAAATATATGGGTTATAGCCAATGGCTTACCAAATAGATTATCCTCCCTTGTTGAAGAACAATACTGAAAGTGGCTAAATACGATTATGATCAATCAACTAACTGCACTCTAACAACCTTTTAACTGAGAGGAAGAACTTGAATGAGTCAAGTTAAAATCGATTAATGGTTAGAACATTACAGCAAATTATTCCTATATTATACGTATATCTAACATAAGATAAAGCGATAATTGTTATTTGAATAAAGTCGGAATCTACGTTGTATGTAAAATGCAATTTAATCGGTCTGAAACACATTTCCTGTCCCCGATCTGAAGCTTGCTTTTTATTAATCATCTCATCTTCCTTTTAAGCTCATAGTACTTCCATATTTTCAAGCCCTTGCCTGCGGTCACACAGCAACGTACAAAGAGTGCCGTATGAATATTTAAAATCGGCGCCCATTTGTTTACCGTTTATCCAATTTCGCAAATGAAAGGCCAAGATCGCTGCTTTTATTTTTAATTGCTCTTGGGAATTATATTTTCATCGTACCTGAGCCCGTCGGCTCTAGGTTTCGTTTTGCCATATTTCAAACAATTGGCTTGCTTGTTCGTTTCAACCAGTTAAAAAGTGCTCTGATTGATTGTCTCACTTACGACAAAATCAAATTATCTGGGGAGCTGAAGGAAATACATGATGTTTTGTGTTACCAATGTTTTAGCGTTTTCTTTTCACTTTCCCGATTTCCTATCTCTAAGTACCACCAAAATATTCGTCTTTATCGACTGATGTAGGTATAAACATCAAACGTTTGCTTGGACATTATGAACAAATTATAATGTTAAAAGTGAAATAACGTAAAAATATCAACTACCATCCAACAACTTCTTATTCGTTAACTATATACGATTAAGGCATGTTCATGATCATGATACTTCAAATTGYWACAAATAYTGTTGGAAAAATGAAAGACCGTATATGTAAGGACTCAACGTCAGTAACTTCGGGTAAGATGGAATTTATTTCGACTCCATGCTTCCCATTGGTTCTAAAACTAATATAGCGCCTGACAACGTTTAATAAAAAACTAGGAAAATGTGAAGTTGCATTTTTGTTTTAAGTTGGAGTTTGGGCCATGGGTTGAATCTCTGCTTCAAAAAATTAAGTTTTAACCACATTTGGGCAGTTTCTCTATCACTCTTCAAAAAAGCAAAATCGTTTAAAACATCCATGTTTTAAATAGGTCTTCAAAGTACTTAATCGCCGGTTTAATTATTCTGCGGCTTTTAACAATCTGCATATAATTTTCATCAGGTGATGTCAAAATATGATCATAAATCAGATCCATCCTGGATTCAATGATTATTGTGAATGGCTAGCCACTTTTAGGCCCGGTTCCACCATCTCCGATTAAAATGTTAATCATTGATTAAAACTATTTAATCAACACTTTGCGTTCCACCATAATTTTAACCACGATTAATCAGGGTACAAACACACTTAATTAGTGGTTAACTTAATCGCCTAAAATGGCTGGTTATTGACGATAATCACGATTAGTGTAGTATTATAACCCCAAACAATAACCTCAAGTAAACACATGTTGGATTTGTTTTATGACGATGTTTTATCACCGTCTGATGAGAAGACCCCTAATATTTAATCCGTAATTATTTTTAAATCATGGACACCTTGAGTTTTTTACGCTATTTCGCTTATCGAAAATCACTGTCCAAACATTACTACTGGAAATCGAAATAGACCTGCAACATACTACAGAAAGTTATGATAAATGAATAATAGTAAAATTGCCGCATGTTAATTAAATGGWTTTTTTAGAAATAACACTATTCAACCCACGAGACAACTTTTGGAACTGGATCGCATCTTATTGCTGCTGGACACTTTTTTGGAGTAAGCAAAACTAGTCCGCATCGAATTGTACTTAGTAATTGTAGTAACTGCTGCAATAGCCACATTAGCTCGAAATAACATTAAACTCCCATCTACAAAAAGGGAAATAAGTGTAGCACAAGTAATTTTTTATGCAGTAGCTCGTTTCCCCAAACTTATTTCAGTGTTGGATTCAAGCSACATGTGATTACTATGTTGAGGGAAAATGATTTCAGTTGCTGTCAGTTGTTTGAACCAATCAGAACCRTGGATTAAAAGGAAATACGATCTTACCCGATGAGACTGRTGATTATGTAACCGGAGTTAAAATGTTTGTTGAGGAACGCACAATTATGTCAATAGTCATGATTAAARTGGTGATTAAAAAAWGATTGTGATTAGYTAACCAAGAATTTAATCACTCTTGGTGGAACCGGGCCTTAGACTGTTAAGTTAACCATCGATTAAATGGACGAATAAAATCATGGGAAAACGCAAGTCGTTGTTTCAAGGACTTAGATCGACGAATAAGGCTTCTGGTCTAAATGGTGCACCGGGCCTAAGATTCATGACAATGGTCGCAAGTAAATGTTCTAAACCATAAACCCACAAAAATACTATTTTTTACTTTGTTAATTAACTCGACCCTGAAGATGTAAAACTCAGTCAGTTGAATTAGCTCACATCTTTTTTAGGCAATTCTCAAAAATAAAAGAGCTAAAAATTATAGCAAGAGATTCAAAAACTGAGTGGAGCATACATAACTCGATGATTGCATTCAAATAAAAATTTAAGCACTGCAATAAGACATACAAACAAAGAAAACATAAGGTCTCAAATACGTTCAAATTATTAAGGTTCCTGCTATTCTAAAGAAAATTTAGATTTACTAAGAAAACTAGGATTTACTAACATTATAATCTCATTCAATTCAAGGGAAATAAAGTTAATAAACGGGCAGTAGTAATCAAAACTCGTCAAAATATAAACTGTAATTCGCAAAACATCGCACAAATTTAATTTCGTAATTATAATTCTAGCCAACCGATTGATAAAACATTCATAAATAATTACTTCAATAATTATAACTAGCAGACCAATAAAATTTTATTTTACCTCCGGTTTCGATTTTAAGCTTATTAAATTTCGTTATTAAATAAATTGCAAACAAACTATTGCAAATTAAATTTTCAAATAGTCTACAAAAATAAATATAATTTGGAAAATTGAAAACGGTTAAAGTTGCCATAGTACACAAACAAATTAGATAAATCAATCAGGTTGCGACTAAATTAAAATGAGGAAATGCTATTTAATAAACGAATTGAGTTTACCAATATATTAGTGTAATCATCTAACAGTATTCAAACTCGGTAAATTTGAAATGTAATTTGCAAAAAGCTTAACAATAAATATTGCCCAATGAAATTAACTTTATGATGTAAAAATAAGTAAGAATTGTTATCAGTAGAATGCAAATAAACACGATAAAAAGGATTTGATGCCGATATTAGGCGCTTGACCAGTAAAAATATTACTGCATATGCAGAGTGTTTCCCGGTTGAAGACACAACCCCATGACAGAATCCTTTCTGCAAAATATGGATACAGACTCATTTAAATGAGCGGTTGAATGACAGTCATACGGACCATTAAAATTATTTTTACATTTTTGGGGAAACCATATTTCCAATTGCAATCTCCAGTGGAAAACGTTAAAGACGTATTGAGCTACCTATATCTATGCAAATAAACCAAAATGATGATCTTGTACTAAACGCTTTCTACGTATTCATTAAAAAAAAGCACATTTTTCTACAAAATATATGTACATTGGCATGGCATGTCTCTCAATACCGAATCCACAAAGGAAAATAATATCTATTAATTATTAGAAATTTACAAAAAAAATAAGAAAATACGAAAACAAAATCAAGAGATACCCAAAAGGGAGAAAAGAGCGGACACAAAATTGTACATATTTCAAAACCAATATCTGAATGCAGGCAAGGTTAATTGTTCCTACAACTTGGAAACGCGATTATTCGGAAACCGCTTGCCAAAAAGCAACAAAATAGTAACTAATGTAAAGAGAATTGAACGGCCTTTAAAACGATGTGTCACTTGACCCCCTCCCATTTAAGATTCTAAGGGTGTCACCTACCCGTCTTAGGGGGTTGAAACAAAGAGGGTAAAAATATTAATTGTACGTACTTTCCTGACTGTGTTTCAATTCCAAAATTAAAATCAAATCCTGGGTTCTTCAGTCATTTATTTATTGTTCATTTATCAATTTAA